GGTTGGAAGTTGTTTTCTTTCAATGCTTGAAATACTTCACTCTATGCTCTTCTTGACAGGATGTTTTGTGTTGAGAAGTCTGCCATGATTCTGATAGGCTTTCCTTTATAGATGATCTGTTTCTTTTGATGTTTTGTTCTCATGCTCAATTTCTGGGATCTTGATTTTTATATGTCAAGGTATAGATTAATTTTGGCTCTGGCTAATTTGAGTTCTATATGTGTCACTTATCTGTATGTCAGTTTCTTTTCTCACGTTTGGGAAATTTTCTGCTATTACTTTTGTAAATAATCTTTATATGCCATTTGTGTTGTCACTTTTTTTGTTTACACCTATCAGGCTTATATTGCTTCTCTTTGCTTCATCCTGCAGTGAATTACTACTTCCCAATTCCTTGTTATTTTTCAGAGATTCTTCCTTTCATGATCACTAGCCACAATCCTGTATTCAATCTCTGAAAGTCTGTCTTCAATTTTATTTATGCAGTTTTTCCAACTTTCAGTGGAATTTTTGATTTCCTGGATATATCATTGAATCTGTTTCAAGTATTTTATTTGTTTCATATATTATTCATTCAAGGTTTCCATAATTTTATTACCCCCTTTTAAAAATCTATATCTTTTTTGGATATATTCACCAATTTTTTCATTGTATTTATCATTTCTGTTTTTACCTGAGAAATTATTTCTGATCTGATTTACTTTAGAGCTTCTTGGAGTTTTTTCTTTACTTCTGTTGCTATTATTTCAGAAATTTCAGGTGTGTTATTTATAAATTCATTCATGTCTATGTCTCTTGTACTTGAACTGGATGGGCTGGAAGTTTGAGATTGCATTTTGTTCCTTCATTTTGACATTTTCCTGTGTTCCTCTGAATCATCCATATGTCAAGTCTTAGGGGCATCCTGTGCTTGTAGCCTGTGTGGCAGCAGGCCTCACTGAGGTTTGCCAATGGCTGATCATCTCTGGGCTTAGACTCTTCATCTTTTTGGGCTTCAGAGATGATTCCCAGGTATGGGTTGGTTTCTGGGGGCAGCTTTTGAGTCCCCATCAGCCCCACCTATGATTCCTGGGTGTAGATGGGTCACTAAGCATAACTTCCCAGGCTCTGAGAGCCTCACTGTGGGTTCCTGGATGATTGTGGGTTGTTGGGTGCAGAATCTAATCCGCATGGGCCTTTAGAAATGTTTCCTGGGTTTGGCCAAGTCACTGAGGATGGAATTCCAGTCCCATTGGGCCTCACCAAATGTTCCTGGGTTACTGTGGGTCACTGTGCACGGACTCCCAGTCCCTGCTAGTCTCACTGAGGGTTTTTGGATCACTGTAGGTCACCAAGAGCAGACTCTTAATCCCTGTGGACCTCATTGAGTATTCCTTAATGGCTGTGGGTTACTGAGTGTGAACTTCTCGTCCCCATGGGCCTCAGAGATGGTTCTTGGCTGTGGGCAGGTCACTGGGCACAAGCCCCCAAGCCTCGCTGGTCTTACTGTGGGTTCCTGGATGACTGTAGGTCACTGGGCACAGACTCCCTGTACCTGCAAGCTTCATCTGCACTTCCTGAGTGTGGGCAGGTCACTGGGACACAGCTTCTGAGCCCCTAGGGCCTTCACTGTGGGTTCCTAGATGACTGTAGGTCACTGGGCATAGACTCCTGGTCTCCACAGGCATCAGAGATAGTCCCCAGGTGTGGTTGGGTCACTTGGTACAGCTTCCCAATCCCCACAGGCCTCACCCTTAATTCCTGGGTCAAATTTGTGGTTCTTTACCTCCAGCCTCTCAAATTGTTGGGATTACTGACATGTGCCACCATGCCCAGTGCATTTGTTGCTTTTTACTATCCAGTTTTCTCACAGTCTCCTACAATCTGGCTTCTGTTCCCAGGATGTCAATAGTCTGGATTTACATTTTACATGATTCTGTTAGAGTCATATATATGGGTCCTTCTGTTATAAAGGCAACCATTTTTTTGAGAGTAATACAAAGCAGACAAAAGAGACAGTATATAATGAAGACTGAATTAGTGGTGTAGGCAATGAGCATTGATTTCAAAAGAAGTCCATAGTAGGTACTCAGTAAATAATAAAAGAATGAATGGGTGAGAAAAAGCTCTGTGTAGAATAATGCAGTCTGGGAGCAGAATAGAGCACATTAACTAAAGCACAGATTTCATATGTAGAAAATGGATAAGAAGTTGTCAGGCTAGAAACCTAGACTAAGACCAGATTCTAATTAAAAATCATCATAGTGGGTCACTATGCTTAGGTGAGAGTTGGAGAAACATGATCAGAGTATCTCATTAAGAAGAAACTACTATTATCCATTTGTGATATAATAATTTTAATCCTAAGAGTTAATAAAGAAATGACAGGTCTAGGTAAATGAATGTGAGGAATATTGAGGAAAAGGAGGTTGCTAAAGGTGATGGGGATTATTAAAAATGACACTGAGATATTTTGAAGTCCAAGTACCTAATAAAATGATGGTAACATTATCAGAAATAGGGACATCAGCTAGTATAATCCTTTTCTGGCAAGATGAAAGAATTTTGTTTTTGCCATCTGCAAATGCAAGTGTCTGGCAGCAGTTGTGGATTTTAATTCAGGAGCTCAAGAGAAAGGTTAGAGTTGCCTAAAGTTCATATACAACACCAGCTTTTCCTATTATCACCACCAGAGAGCTCTTCCCTTTTCTTGGCTTCACCCATGATCAGAATAGTGAAATGTTATGGAGCCCAAGGAACTGAGGTGAAGAAGGGGGCATGCTCTCTGTTACTGAAGAGACTGAAATTGAAGATCAAAACCACACAATTTGGTCATTAGAGAATTGTTATCTCTAAGAGGTGTTGTTTCAGCTTGGCATTACTAGGTGGATAGGAATCAGAGTGCAGGAATTTTGGCATTTAATGGGCACAGAGACAGAATTAATGGGTATGGAGTACTGGCAGTGAGAAGACAAAAGATAAAAGGAGCATAGAAGAACTCAAAGTTCTGGTCACTTTGATACTGAAACTTTTCTCAAAGGTCCAAATTTGTCTCCTTGTCCTACTTTCAGTTTGATCTTTTTTGTTTTCAATACCGGGTATATCAATCTCTTACTCTTTCCATTTTTCCTAAAACTCTCTTCTGTGGCTTCTACAATATGATAGAAATTGCTTTTGTTTCTGTCACATGGCTGGCCACTGTTTTCCTTTTTGGATCTACTTCTCCCACTCATATCTAAAAATGTCTATCTTTCCAATTCCAACTGCCTGTAGGATTCCTTTATCAAATGAGTTCACTTTGACAACCTTGGCTTTTGAGAAGGATAGTCTCTCAGGTATTCCAGGTCTTGCTAAGTTGCCCAGGCTCTTGCTCTGTTGCTAAGTTTTCCAAGTTGAGCTCAAACTTGTGATTCTTCCTCCTCAGTCTTCCAGAGTGCTGGGATTACAGGTATATGCCACCAAGCCTGGTTCAGACATCAGTTTCTTTCATGATGTACATCATAGTACATCAAATCTGTGACAGGTCTTGTCATCTCCTTCTTTGAGTATTTCTGGGATACATCTTTTCCTTATTTTTATTTTGGTTCCAGGGATGGAGCCCAGGGCCTTAAGGCAGCTAGACAATTTTCAGTGAGTTAGATCTACAGACCCCCTGGAGCATATTCTTACTCCCCATTTCTTTGCCACTATCCTCAATAATCCCTAGCTATCTTTACCATAACTGATTACAGGAGAATCTTCCTAACATGGGCAATTTTTTATTAATATTTGTTTGCAATACATTGCAGTTATAGCTACATTTGTTTTGGGGAGGTTGGCATGTAGAAGTAACATATCTTGATCATTTTCAAACCCTTTATAAACTCCAAGCTTCTCTTCCCTCATTCCTTCCTACTCATCTCTTTTCTCATCTTCAACAAGTCTGTTTTTTGTTTCCTATCATCTACCTTTTTTTTATAAGAGTAACCACATGACATTTTTCTTTCTGTGTCTGACTTATTTCCATTAATATTATGGTCTTAAGTTCCATCCATCTTCTGGCAAATGGCGTGATTTCACTGTTTTTTTCTGGCTGAATGGTATTCCACTAGATATATATGCCACATTTCTAACAACTACTTTCTGAACAGAATAACAAGGTTAATGTTCTGAAATTGCCATTTACAGTATTTTTTTGTGTGAAAAAAACATGATGGCTCCTTATAGCTCTTATACAACAGCTAAATTCTTATGAGTGGCTTGCAAAGTGTAAAAACAGAGAACCAGAAATAAAAAGGCTATTAGATATCACCTGACCTACCTTTCCCTCCAGTGCAGGAGTCATTACTTAGGATTCTTCACAGGCAGTCCCCTTGCCTTATGTTAAACAGGTTCCCAGAACATGGAGGCTTTCTGAATTTGATTTCCCTCTATGTTCTGCTTTATTCTCTACTACTTGCTCAATATTCCATCATCTGCTGTTAAGCTTATTTCTTCTTAGCTCCCTTTTGTAATGGGTTTCTTCTTACATCTACATCTTTGGGCATCAGCTTTGCCAAATATCCTCTCCTCTCCTTTCCAGCTCTCAAATTTGCACTTGTCATTCAATGCCTAGCCTGTCATCTTTCACGATCCCTTCCCTCTCTTCAATTTAACTCCTGTTACATTTACTACTACCACAGATTTTCATGTTTACTTGTCCTGTGTGTGCTAATTTTATTCTCTCTTCACCTCCCTCATACAATGTGAGCACCTTCAGGGTAGCTAAACTCAGTCTTAGACCTTGTATCACCCAAACTTGCTTTGCATAGTATTAGGCATAGAGTAGGTACTCAGGCAATGCTTAATGATTAATAATAAATAAGCAACCTGCAGGAGAGAGGTAAAGTCATATAGACAGTCAGTAACCTAGTTCGTGTTTAGCAATAACAGTCCCTGCCCAGTCCTGCAGTTGATACATATAAGCCAAGCCTGAGTAAACATGCTTCAAGGAGGGTCCTAGGTCTTAGGCCTTCCTGAACCTGAGAAACAGTGAGGATTACCTTGGTAGTATAGGGGAGGAGCCTGTGGGACATCTTCTGTATGTACTTCATTATAGCTTTCATCTGGATTGTAGCCTGAACCTAGAATGAAGAAGACAGTATCAAGATAGTATGTTGGTTTCTCATTTAACCCCTTCTCATCCCCCTTCCCTAGTGTCCATCTTTATATTTTCCTGTAGACTTGGCACTGCATTGGCAGGCAGACAGGTGACTTGAAAAAGCTGCAGAACTATGATGGGTGCACCTTAGCATATCAGAGGGCAAGTTCATGGTTGGATGTCAGTGATAGAACCAGAGGATTCCCTTCAAAAGAAAAATAACTGAATTTCTTGACCATCTATCAATCTATTGAACCTTGACTATAAATGATCTATTTCCTTGATGTAACATACAAGTCTTATGAGACACTGATGACCAAATTCTAAGGATGGACTGTTTTTCTAGGTAGTAGGAATAAAATAGAGCCTAAGGGTCTTTCCTTACTTAGAGACCTGCTCATAGTCCTTAGAAGGAAACAATCACTCAAGCTCACACTAGCCTACAGAGCCTGAGCGTTATCATGGTCGTTGGTGGGAGTCGCATGCTAACACAAAAAGGATGGCTCAGAAGTCCAGAAGAAATGAGAACAGTCTTATAAGCACTTTTTCCTGGCTTGGAGAAAAGAGAAAGGAGACTTTTTTTGTGCCTGTGCTAGTGAATTAGTCCTAGCCTCAAGCTTGCTATGCAAGCACTCTACCACTGAGCTACACCTCTAGCCTAAGGCAGAGTCCTTTGATTAAATTTATGTTGATGTAATGAACAAGAGCTTTGGCAGCAATCTGATGAGCTAGTAAACATTTCTTATCTACCTCTATCTAGTTAAGTTGCTCAGTCACTGTTGTAGGCAGGTCTGTGTCTGTCTGGGAGACTAAACAGTTTGTTCTACACTGATGGCAAGAAATCAGTCATACATATGAACTAACTGGAAAACAACTTAGTCATTTGTGAAGTGAAGTTTATGGAAGCCTGTCTTTCCTGAACTCTAATATAAGCACAGGAATGGGCCAGACATTGCTGAAGTCTGAAAATAATTCTCTATTTGTAGGAGACTGCACTTCTGGGACAGGGCTAGGTTTTGGTGCTGGAGCCTGTCAGCCTGTGTAAACAGTCAGACCACAATCATTCTCTCTAGGAAGAGGTACAGGGTCGCCTGAACTAAAGGGTGGAGTACAGGGCTAGATGATGTAGCTTCTCTTCTCCCCACATGCCCAGACAAGGGGTGTGTGGGATATTGGGAAACTAGTCTAACTTGGTGAACAAGGGAATGAATCAAATTGAAGGTTTGCCTTATGAAATCATGTCCTTGTTGGTTTGCCCTCATTCCAAAGGAAAGAGTTCATTTTAAAATTTTTCTTTCTTTTTTATTTTCTTTTATTTTTTTAAACATTTTTCCATTTCAGTTCTTTTGGACTGCCTTTATTTCTCCTTAGGCCTTGTCTCCCTTGGTTTCTCTTTTCCCACAAGGCAGGATTTTTTGTGAAGCGTGAAATTCTTGTCAGCTGTTCAGTCTAGCATTAGCTCTAAAGATTTACAACTCCTGTAAACAAAAGGCCAGATATGTGTGATTTCCTAAAATATTAGGTCTCCTCATTCTGTTAAAGAGTTAGCTTGTTAGAAAATGCACAGCAGGGAGGAAACACCTGTTTACTAGAAGAGAAAACTGGAGTATCAGAGAAGCCTATAGCTGGATAACAATAACAATAACAACAGTGACTGCTACCATCACTGACCTCCTACTCTGTGTTAAGCATAGGTTATTTCATTATGTCACCATAACATTTTAATGGGTATACATGAAAAAAGCAGATTCAGAGGAATTAAGGGAGTTACCCAAGTTCTCTCAGCTAATAGGTAGCAGAGTGGGCATTACTCCTCAAGTCTGTTTGACTCCTATATATTAACCACTAAAATGATAGTGAAGAGAAGGTTTTTTTTTTTTTTTTTGAAGAGAAGGTTTTAACAATGGCCACAGGGAAAAGTATTACTTTCCATTCATCTTTTTTACTCGCTGTGTGCAGGAATGAAGGCTACCAAGCATTTTATTCCTTTCCAGAATTGCAGCAGATGTGGGAAAACTCTAGGAAAGACCTAATCAGATAATAACAATGATCCATGAGATTGGGCAAATAACTAGACAACTGGCAGCTTTCTTCTGTGCCAGGAATGACTTGGGCCACTTCATCAGCTTTAATTTTTCAAATTCTGCTCTAAAACTATATTTGAATATTTTACACATGCATTAGGATACTAATATTGGGTGTATGAATGAAACTAGAGGGGCAGACACCTCATATTATTCCATATGTTTGCCCTTCTTCAGCCCTGGAAGGGGAAGAACTTGAACAGTAGTTTTGTTTCCTTAGATCATTCAGTAGTTGGTTTCTGTATGTTCTGTTACTAAGTTCCTTTAATTTCTGTAGCATAGTCAGACCCTCTAAGCACTGTCTTTAATAAAGATATAGTTGGAAATGTAATTGGTAGATGAAGTCTATTTTAAGATCAATATTAATGCTTTGTTTATGATCACAAATGCAGTCTGACTTCCTGACTGAACAGATATGACAGTATGATTTATTTAACTTAGTTTCCTAAACCTTCTCACTCTTGAAGATTAATCCTGAATCCTTTTACTGAGTATTTCTGAATCTACAGTTGGCTGCTTTCCTTGTATCAGTCACACTAGAGTACAGGGGCTATATAAGGGAATAAAACAGTCCTGGATGCATAGGGACTGCTCAATATTCATTGAGTGAATGAATAAATGAATGGAGGATATTCCAGCAGCTAAACTAGCAATGCAGGGGATAATCATAGGAATTCCAAATGTCTCTCACCATGTTGCCAACTAAGAAGGCTATGGAGACCTCTTTACCTGGACTCTTTACAAGATGTAGTAACCCTGGTGATTCATGTGAATATAAGGAGCTCTTCCTTTGCAAACAGCTCTTTGAGCACTTCAGATGAAATTATGACCCTGTGTTCAGAACTCTAACAGCTCAGGCTTTTGCCCTAGGAAAGGCAAAGGCCTTTGCAAGCAAAGAGGTTTCATACAGTGTTCAAAATTGGGTTTTTAAGCCATCTAATCTCACTCCCTTTGTACCATGGTCGTTGAATGGATTTTGGCCTTCCACGTTTAAATTGAAGCTAGAGGGAGGTTGGGAGGACAGATGCATATTTATCTCCTGGAGACAGAGGGTTCCTATACCCATAAGCAGTGTATTCTCTGCCAAGGGCTTGATTTGAATTTTTCATTTCAGTGACAGCCCTTGTGCTTCACCCTCAATAAATCCAGGTTAAACCAAAAAGGGGAAAAAGTTTGCATATTTGCTTGAAAAGTTGGTGCAGCTGTTACAGACAAACAACACTACTGCCAAAGGCCTCCAACAAGAGCTAAGAGCATGTGGAAAATTTTAGCTTGCAGTGACTGTGGCTATGATGGGGGAAGTTTGTTATTTATTCAACTTTGGATGTTTTCCTAGCCCTACTGGTTGGGCCTGTCTCATTTCCCCAGACTCCCCAGCCCCTGGGAAGCCAGAGACTGCAGACCACAGAATATTCTTAGCACTTGAAATGCCAGTTGGGCCTCATCAAAAGCCTCCCAGCTCATTATCCTTCCCTCATTCTTCCCCTTTCCATCTCCTCACCAAGTCCCTTGTAGACTCCCTATGTCTCTAGAGGTGAAAAGTGAAACATTCAGGAATCCAGAAAACTACACTCTTTTCTGAAATAAAGAACAAGCCAGAAAAAACTGGGGCATTCCTGATTAAGTGAATGTGATCAATAATGACATTAACAGCTTTAGGATAAAGGTGTCACAAAATGTCATGAACAAGTTTTGAGAGGGAGCAAAAAAGGGAAAGAAGAAGTGTGATGGATCCTTGTTTTCTTCAAATACTTTGCTTGTCTCCATTTATTTTCCAAATGAGATGTGTAATCTACATCCCATCTTTGTGATCTTCACAAGGATATTTGACTTACAAAGGAATTAGTATTAATAAAATTTATCTCACAGAGGACATTAGAAAATGGATTTTCAGGAAGTTAAGTACAACACAGGTGATACAGTAGCCTTAAAAACCATGTTTTCAAACCTTCACTTTTGTGCTGGCAATCCTATTTTCAAATAGCTCATGTTAAGGTGTCTAAAAGATATTCTCTGATAACTGTTGCAATGGTTAGTGATGTTTATTGTCCTTTAATAGTTTTTTATCTGTATCTAAAATAATAATCTTTCATTGTAGTCTACTTCTTGTCCATGTCTTGGTGCTAGGATGTGACCTTTCTAGAAGTAACATTCAATAGCTCCTACAACTTACCTGCATACCATGTTGGTGTCACTGTTGGAATAAGGAAGAGTAGCAGAAAGAGAGCTCCTCTTTGAGTTAGTTGACCAGCCATCCTTGAGAGGAGGGTTTAGGGAAACAAGAATAGGAATATATGTCTATATGTACCAGAGTAAAAAAAAAATGACTTTCAGAAGTCAGCCATCTATGAATTTCCAAAAGTGAGAGGAAGCAGAAATATAGGATCTGTGAGGAAAGAGAAAAATCTTAAAATTAATGAGTACTTGTTATATCATCCTTCTCATAAAGATTTTCCACTTTGTAGAATAATAATTCTTTGTTATTTATGGTCCCTTTTCTGATGGAATTGTATGCAAATGTTCCATGGTCCAAGTTATATGGAAGGACACTGCAATATCTACACAAGGAAAAGGCAATTATTAAGTCATACAGAAGCAAGATAGAATCTGACCATGTAAAGCCTGTCAGTTAGTGGTTTTGTCCATTCAACTAATATTTCCTAATCTGGGGACATATTAGTACATGTGATATAAGAGTTTGAACTCTAGAGTTACACAGATCTGGATATGAAACCAATTCTGTCACCGATTAGCTGGGGGGGGGGGCTTAAATAAAAATCATTAACTTCTCTGAGCCTGTGTTTTCTCATCAACAAAATGGAAATAATAGTAATATTATTTAGGCTGCAACACAGGAAAGCAATCAATATGTTTGACAGATTATTACCAATTTTATATTAGACCAGACTGGATAGCCCTCTCTCTTAGTCTCAGAGGTACTAGCCATACCTTGGATCTATTCCTAGCATTGGGCTTTGAGGCTTAGTGGTTTGGTAGTGCTTATGGTTTTCACCTCTAGGCTAACCTAGTTTTATCCTGCTCAGGCAACAGGAAGTCAGAGAGGTTGGGAAACCTGTTGAACTCCATGAAGAGAGGGTGAGTAGGCTCCAATTACCCTCTCACTTACCATCCTGTCCTCACTCTAATTGAATGATAGCTTTTTGTGGTTCTCAGTGGGAAAGTACCTAGTAAATAAGAGTCTTAAAACTTGTTAGTACTGATATAAATTGGTCACTGAACCTTTCAGCAAGCATCCACACACCCATTTGACTTCAGTGGAATGCACTGCTCAGAGAAGGAGTCAGTACTGGAAATGGAGTGAAAAAAAGATGTCAGACTCTGACCAGAGTCTCTAAAGGGACATGCAAAGTCCAAGAAAGGCAAAAATTTATTTTCAAGTTCATAGATACTTGGATTTGAATTTTATCAAGAGTGGCAAGTAAGTGAGATAGAGACAAAAGTGAGGGAACACAGTGGAAGTAAGGAAAATGAACTGATATGGAAGGAATGCTAGAAAGAAAAGAAAATCTGACAGAGTTAAAGATAGGAGTTGGAGTATAGAAAAAGGCAACAAAAGAAGCAGACAGAGACTAAAAGAAGCTCCAGGACAATGAATGACTAGATATTCACTGATCCTTTCTCCACATCTAGTCTTAACTCAGTTAGTTTGATCTCGAGCACGGGCTTTCCATTTTTCAGAACAGACACTGTACTCTAAATCAGTGGCCCCTTACCCATCCACCTCCTCCCTGATCTCAGATTGAAAATGTACTCACCAGAGTCAGGCATCTCTCTGCTGTGGGCTGAGAAGGTAGTGGAAACGTGTCTGCAGCAACGTCACAGCGTAAACAAAAACAGAATATAATCCAATTTCACAAAAGAGGTTTTTCCTGTCTTCAACTTGCAGCTATATCATCCATCTGCTGGATTTCTTTATCCTCTAATGCTGTGAAACAGGGTAGTATAGTGTGAGGGGTTAATTGCAGGTCTTACCTGTTTATAGGTTTTTTTGTTGGTCTCTTTCTTTTTCTTCCTCCTTGTCCTTTCTATCTGTTCCTCTCATAAGTCGGAAAAAAAAACCCTTCTACTTTAACATTCCTAAAACGAGTGGTTATTGGTCTGTCCCAGCCTCCAGGATTCTGTTAACCCTGCCCAGATGTTAATACTTTCACATCTGCCAAAAGTTGCCTTAAAGCTATATTATCGCCAAAACTATAGCTCGTTCTCCCAAGTAGAAGGGTTTTAGAGAGATGAGAGAAGAAATAGAAGGATTAGAGGAATTCAGCCTGTCTGTTGCAGAATAAGGGGAAGTGTGAGTCGTACTGGCAGCAAGCACGAGTATAGTGATGACAAACAAGCTGGCTAAAGGGCTTCCAGAGAAGTGCTTCTCTGAAGAACTCTACTTTTTATGACTCAGTATGACATCAGGATTGAATGAAAAGGAATTTCACAAACTTCAATAAGGGGGAGAACAGTTTGATTGATTTCAAAATTTCCTGGAACTTTCCTCTATATCCAAACTCCAAGTTGCTTTGCTATTCATATGGTACAGGTTAGACAGAGTCTAAAATCCTAACTTTTTCAGACCTTGGTTTCTAATAAGATTATGTTGTTTACACAATATTACCAAGCACTTGTGTGTGTGTGTGTGTGTGTGTGTGTGTGTGTGTGTATCTCTGTGAATGTGTCTGTGTGCAGCATAGTGTCAAGGAACAAAATCAGGACCTCAAATATGCCAAAGAAGTATTCTACTCTCAGCCTTACCATATACTTCCTTCCTGAAGACTCAAGACTGATGTCTCATGGTCAGAATGGATGGAAAGTTTGCCTAGGGAGGATTTCATGGGAGTTTTTTTATGTCAATCCAAATGATATGTGGATGGCAAAGTGAAAGCCATTGCTAGCTGTTTCCCAGGGGTCTCTGACAGAGGGCTATGATTCTCTTCATTAATCAAGCTGTCTTCATCTGCAGCTGGTAATGAAATTATTCTTGCATAGTGGAACTAGCTCCTCATATTCTGTTCTCTTCACAGCTGACATGTCTATCTCTCAAAAAGTCAGTGGTTTAAACAAAAAAATTTGTTTACATGTTTTAGAAAATGTTCCTTCCTTCTGTATACAAGCAAATTTATAACCCTTTCTCATCATTCAGGTAAGAATAGGAGCAAATCTGAATGTTTAATTTCCAGTCCACCACTAACAAATATGTATTGAATATCTACCATTATTCAACTGTGTGATAGCAGTATTAAAAAGCATAAGACATGATCTTACCCTCATTCATTCAATAAATTTATCAAGCATCTACTGTGTTAAAGATGGTGAACATAGTGAGACTGACAAAATTCCTGATATACTAATATATATAATTAATTCAACAAATATTTGATGAACATCTATAATAAATACTCACATTGAGGCAGACATTGTTCTGGGTACTTGAGAGGCTTCAGTGAGCAAAAGAAACAAAAATTGCTGCCCTTATGGGAAAGAGGAGACATATCAAATAAAAAATTTTCTTTCAATTCTGTATGTTCAGGGAATCATTATTGATCATCTACTCTAAGGTAAGTATTGGGAATGCACTGGTAAACAAAGAATTGTGAAAAGGAGGAAGGGAAAAGAAATGAGAAATGAAGGATAAAATGAAACCAAAGGTTTTGTAAATAATGAAGGGAAGAGGCATTAAAGAGAAGGGAGAGAAAGGGGAAAAAAGAAGAATCAAGATATATCCTGTATCTGTACAAATTCCCTATGATGAATGTGATCATTATGCATATCTAAATTATACCAATACACTTAACTAATTAAAAATTTTTAGTATGAAGCATCTCAACAGTCAATAAAGCATTGCTTTTAAAAATATATTAGATACAGAAACTGAATTATCTACCTGAGCTGTCAGCAAACACAGAGAAGCTAGACTATAAACAACTTTCTTAGATAAAATGTGTGGAATTGTGAATTTTAGCACCATTCAAAAAAACTTGTAATTTCTATGTGTCATGAACTATACATTATGATATTTTTGGGAAGAAAGTAATATCAAAGATGAAAATGATTCATAGAAAATCTGAGAAGAGTGTATAGAAAAGAGTAAATGAAAAATAGACACATGATACTTGCAGAAAATGAATAATTAGAAAAATATAAGACAATAGGAAATAAAATGACATTCTTGTTTAATGAGCTAATTTTTAAAACTGTAAATGTATTAACAGATTGAATTATACAATGTCAGGTGACCATAACATAAATTATGAGGTTTTAAGAAAACAAATAGGAGGCACTCTTAAATTTCATTATACACACTTAAGCAAGGTAATTGAAGAGATACTAGAAAAGGAGTTAGAAAATGAAAATGGTAAGGTTATTTTGTGAACAACAGATAAAATGTATTCTGACAAGTGTAATTTAAGGAACGCTTGAGTAGAAATTAAAATGAAGATGGTAAGGTTATTATATAAATGACAAATAAAATGTATTCTGAGTGGAATGGTTGATGTCCTTTTACTAGTTTTTATGACATAAAATAGGAATGTCTCAAGACATTATCTAGCAATGCTAGCAAGTAGTTCTTTTAGAAATGGCTCATCACACAAAAGTATTCCAGGCTTTTCTTGTCTTAAGCAAAGAATTGAGTGAGACAAGCCAAAAAATAGTGCCAAAAGTTTATTTGAAAATGAGGAGTGAAGAGCTAAGGGAAGCACAAGTTCTGTAGAGCAAATTTGGGCTGAACAAAAGAGAGAAAGGAAAAAAAAAGAGCAAAACTGAAAGTACATCCTGGGTCTAGGAGACTCAGGGTAAGCTTGTTGTAGAATCGCGATAGTGAGCTCCTTGTGGAATCTGCATCCTTATATGCAGTCCACATCTTGTGGAAACTCTTAAGAAGTTGTACACAGGGGTCCTGAGAGTTATCCGGCACCACCCTGGGGATTATTTACAGGTCCCCCCACTTCTCCAACCAGCTTTGCCATACCCTACCTCCTATATTAGCGGCTCAATTTAATATGCCTGTGCTATGACAGTGTGATAACAAGATGGCTTAGACATTTAGTTTTTACTTAATTTAAATAATCAATCCTTGTGAAACTACTATTCCATTACCCCGAAAAAGCAGCCATACTTTAATGAACAATGAGCTCAAAAGGGATTGATTGAGCATCTAGTGTGCTCATCAGTTGGGCATTATGTCCTGGGGTGTTGAGGAGAACATAAAAGGTGCACAGAGGCTCTACTACACTGGCTCTTCTGTAATTTTTGAATGTCTAGACTGCAGGATGTAAATCAGCTAAGTGAAAATGCAAAGAAGGTACTTTAGTAGTTGACAAAAGGTGTGAGTTAATGTGAGTATGTAGTCAGTCTATGAGCACTAATGTTAGAAAAAAGGATGAGTCTGTGAAGGGAGCATGTTTTCATTGAGTTAAAATGAAGGTGGGCATTGAAGAGAGAAAAATGTGGAGTTTGGAGGGTGGGCAAGAAGTAGGGGGACATACCTTGCTTACTCAGAGGATAATCATATTGGTTTGATGTAGACAAGAAAATAAAATAGTAAAGCAGTGAGAGATAGATTGAGATTGTGTTGGAGGGTAGTAGTTAGCAAGAGTGGAGGATGGAGTGGCGTAAAGGAGGGCTGATTTATTTATTTATTTTTATTTTGAAAAGAATGAAACCAAATGAGTCAAAACAAAATAGGGCAAATCAAAACAAAAGGATGAACATGGTACATGACTTTAAAAACAAAATACAAGGTGGTCAACAGCAGCTACCATAATGCCTCTTGTTATCTTCAAAAGAAGTGCCTATATCATCAGGCATAATGAAATTGAACAAAGCAGTACAGACCAAAACCAATAAAAACAAAACATTGGAGGCATTATAGGACTTCAAAAGAAGGTAATAGTCAAACCAGAATGGGTATCATAGTGAATCTTTTTGTTTTCAAAGTAGTTGCCTATGCCCTCAGACTTGATATTATCAAGCAAAACAGATTAGAATAAAGTCAGTCAAAACAAAACAGTGAAAGCAATACAGGACTTTATATCAAGTCAATAGGAAATCAAAACTGGTTGCCATAATATATGCTGTTATCTTTGGAACATGACGACCATGACGTCAAATCTAATACAAATACACAAACTAAAACACAATAAAACCAAACTAAACAACAATGAAAACAATATGGGTTTCAAATCATGATAATAGATTAACAATGGCCAGTGCCTTCTCTTTTTAGACAATTTCTCCCCTTTCACTTTCACAGAATGTATTGTACATTTTGTATCCCATGAACTCATTTAGTTTTTATATTAGGGAGGCAACCTGCTGTTCATCTAAGTGATTCTGAACCTTTTTACCCCTGAGCATGATCTCAAGTTGTATCCATTTACCTACAAGAGCCTCAAGGTTTTCTTTCTTTATAGCTGAGTAATTTTCCATTGTATAAAGTGTCATGGCTTTCTAGCCAATCTGCAGCTGATGGACAAGTTACCACCACTTTTATCTTTTTCCCCGTCACACAGAGCATTGTTTTCTCATCTTTGACTTTCAGTCTACAAGCCCCCTTTTGGGTTAAATATATTTCTTCAATAAAGCATATTGATGGACCCTGTCTCCTGACCCACTCTGCCTGTGTTTATTTTTATTGGTGAAAGAAGGCCATCTATATTAATGATTATGGCCAACCTTCTTTGCCTTTTCTCTGCCATGTTATTTTTCTACTGTTGGTTGTCTACTTTTCCCCTTCATTACAATGTCTGCCCTGTTCAGTGAGCCCCCTCTGCTAGAATGTCCTTCAGTATTTTTTGTAGGGTTGGTTTGGTGGTCATGAACTCCCCCAGGTCTTCTTTGTTGTGGAAGCATTTTGTTTCTCCATTAATTTTGAAAGATAGTTGTGCAGGGTACATCAATCTGGTTTGGAGGTTATTTTATTTCAGTGCTTGGAATGCTTTGCTCCAAGCTCTTCTTCATTTGATGGTTTGTGTCAAGAAGTCTGTCATGATTCTGATGGATTTTCCTTTATAGGTATTTGTTTTTTTTCTCAGCTTTTAATATTCTGTTCTTGTGTTGCATTTCTAGGATCTCAATTATTATATGTCTGGGTGTAGATCTACTTTGGTTGTAGCTGGCTGGAGTTCTGTATGCCTCAATTATCTGACTATCATTTCATTTTCTTATGCTTGGGAAGTTTTCTTTATTTCTGTAAATAGCCTTTGCATTTCATTTGTGTTTACCTCTGCTTCTTCACTCATGTTTTTGATTCTTAAGTTATGGATCCTCGTGTCATCTTCTAGCCTTTGTATTATTACTTCCTGGTTCCTTGTTA